ACGCCCCACTCTCACGAGATACATTATTGAGGATACAACGGATATTCCAGTTTTGCAACTAGCAACCAGTAGTATCTTCTATAATCGTTCGTTCCCAGTCGAATAGAAACCAGAAGTCAGACGAGGAGAGACAGGAAAGATATATTTCATTTGTTACCAATATATCGAGAGACTTCGTTCTTAACTGGCTATTGTAACGTAGGAGCTGTGTCCAACGCCGTGTTACAACGTGATCTGGTACGGATGCATGACCGAAAGCCTTCAGCTAAACAAGTCCACTTAAACAACGTGGTCAGCATCCAATGTCGAACACTTAATGAGCTATTGATTTTGGGGAATTATTTACAACTACCGATCACACCCTCCTAGTGAGGTAGTGATGCCCCTAAGACGTGACCAGCCAGAAGTTTAAACCCAACGAGTTTGTCGTTGGTAAACACTCTTCTGATAGCTTGCTTCGTTTATCAGCGTCTGGTCGTCTTTCCTTAAACTATTGAAGACGTTGCGTCGATAATGTTTTGGTACAATTGGACGATCCCTACCTGTAGATGTGTCACAAAGTAAGGTTTCCTTACCTGTTCCCATCTGCCTAATACTTAGTTTAAGAGTTGTCGAGGATAACTCATGCTGAAGATCAATGTCTTCTTTTTGAAGCTGAGCGAGTTTAAGGAGGTCGATTCCTTGGAAACTCTTCAAGGAATTTATTCGAGACAAGGCGTCTGCGACTACATTGTTAGCTCCAGAAATATGTTGTATGTCTGAAGTAAACTGCGAAATGTAGTCGAGTTGTCGAGACTCTCGCGGTGAGTACTTGTCTGGAGATGAACTTAAAGAGAAGGTAAGAGGTTTATGGTCAGTAAAAAGCGTGAATTCTCTTCCTTCGATGGAATGTTGGAAATGCCGTACAGCACAATACATAGCTAGGAGTTCCCTACCGAACGTGCTGTACCTAGATTCCGCGTCTAGCAACCGTCTCGAAAAAAATCCTAACGGTTGCCACTAGTTGTTAACCCATTGTTGTAAGACTGCTCCGATTGCTGAGTCGGATGCGTCTACGGCTATACTAATGGGCGCTTGAGTGTCCTGATGCGCAAGCAAGGTTGCCTTAGCGATGTGTTCCTCAACTTTGGAGAATGCTTTACGGGCTATGTCGTCTAAACTAATTGATTTCGCATTTCCACGAAGCTGATCGGTTAACGGTTTCATAAGGGATGCGCATTTGGGTATGAACCGTCTATAGAAACTTACGAGTCCGTTAAAAGTTCGTAAGTGCTTGATCGTGGTCGGTTCTGGGTAATCCAGAATGGCCGCCACTTTGCTCCTAAGGGGCCGGATGCCTTGGGCATCAATGGTGTGTCCTAGGAAGTCTAAGGAGTTTGTTCCGATTTGGCATTTCTGAATGTTGACAGTAATGCCATGCCTTTGGAGTCGTTCGAAAACAATGTCCAGATGCTTGAGATGCGATTCTCTGTCCGGACTTGCTATTAGACAGTCATCAACATACGCATGTACGAAGTTGAGACCTCGGAAGACGTCATCTATAAACCTTTGGAAGGTTTGAGCCGCATTTCTTAAACCAAAAGGCATTCGTAGAAATTCGTAAAGACCGAAAGGAGTGATGATGGCGGTTTTAGGAATGTCGTCAGGTGCCATCGGGATTTGGTTATAAGCCATAACCAAGTCGATTTTTTTAAAGACAGTTGTACCTTTCAAGGTAGCTGTCAAATCGTGAATATGAGGCAGAGGGTAACGATCGGGAATGGTTTTTGCATTCAGACGCCGATAATTACCAGTTGGCCGCCAATCATTGCTGTCCTTTTTAGGGACCATGTGCAATGGGGATGACCATGGACTATTCGATGGTCGAATTATCCCTAAGTCCATCATATGGTTGAATTCGTTTTTAGCTAACCTAAGTTTTTCGGGAGCGAGTCGACGGGCTTTCGAAAATACAGGTGGTCCTGTAGTGGAGATGTGATGTGTAACATTGCTGGTTGCACAAGGCAATTTCGATTGTGATTGGTATATCCCGGGGTATTTGTCGAGTACTGATTGGTACAAGGGGTTTATGGTGTGCTTATTTGTGACTGGGGATAACCTGCAACCAGAACAAGGAGTTACGCAAACAGATAACTTAGTGTTTCTGTCTATTAACCTTCGTGAGCGTGTGTCGATGAGTAGATTGTGATATTGTAACAGGTCTATACCAGTGATTGGCATAGAGACATCTGCAACCACGAAAATCCAGTGTATGGGTTTGCGTAAACCCACGTTAAGGTAGACGTACCTTTTACCGTAAGTAGCGATCGGTTTTCCGTTTGCCGCCTGTAAACTTAAAACAGACTCGCGAAGTCTGTCGTTGGAGTCCGCTGGAAGAACGCTAACTTCTGCGCCAGTGTCGACGAGGTAGTGAACTTTCGTAGTCACATCTGTGACGTATAACAGACGGCTGTGTTCGCCGGCTACGGTCGCCGTTAACGTGTGCCGGCTGGGAAGTTTCCCGAAATCTTATTCGTGTCAGTCGATTTTGAGGTCGGATAATTGCAAGGTTTCCTGCAATTTCTGGAAAACTTACCGTACTGGTTATGATACCAGCACCAGTCGGGATTGTCTGTCTCTCGTGTTCGAGAGCCAGATCGCTTACGTGAAACGCTTCTATGCGGGGTTTTTGACAGACTACGGTCATTGCGAACTCTAAGATATCGTGTAAGCGTGTGACATAGTTCGGCCATGTCAGTCGAGGTCGATTGGGGTTTTTCTTTGATGGAAAAAACCTCGGCCTTAGAAGATTTAGTGATTTCTAAGATTCGGTCGGCAGATGCAGCCAGCTCGTCTATGGCGTTGTTTGGAAACGAGACAAGCACTGCCTGCACCTGATGAGGAAGTATAGACAAGAAAAGTTGTCTGAATAGGCCATCATCGAAAGTTCGTTGGCCGATAACCTCTCTCATTCTAAGCAACATGTCCGTCGCAGAACCATGTAGCAAGTCGATGTTATGGAGGAGTTGGTCTAACCGTTGTCGGTCGGTTAGGTCTCCTCTATTTTAAAATTGATAGCTTAAGCGTTTCGTAAGGTTCGGGAACATCACTGGTAAACATACTAGGGGTTACGTACCTGTTAAACTCGCGCGGTAACGCCTTAATTACCGCGAGGAAACGTGTGCGCGAGTCCGTGATTCCGTGCATGCAAAAATCGGCTTCTGCATAGCAGAACCAGGACTCGATATTGTCGGGCCAAAATGGTGTTAACTGAATCGAAATAGGGGGAATAGACTTGAACTTAAGAACCTTAGGAGAGTGTTCCGTCATAGTATTATAGATAACGAAAAATGTCTAATTAAAATATATCCGAGAAAAAAAATTCGCGAAAAAAGTATATCACAATATATAAAATTCAAATAAAGAATAACAATGAATAATAATATTCCAAAATGGAACAGACTCACATTATATTGACTTGGTGTACCAGATCACGTGGGGTTCACCAATGATGATGCAACGGATGTTCTAATTTTACAACTAGTTACCAGTAGTATCTTCTATAATCGTTCGTTCCCAGTCGAATAGAAACCAGAAGTCAGACGAGGAGAGACAGGAAAGATATATTTCATTTGTTACCAATATATCGAGAGACTTCGTTCTTAACTGGCTATTGTAACGTAGGAGCTGTGTCCAACGCCGTGTTACAACGTGATCTGGTACGGATGCATGACCGAAAGCCTTCAGCTAAACAAGTCCACTTAAACAACGTGGTCAGCATCCAATGTCGAACACTTAATGAGCTATTGATTTTGGGGAATTATTTACAGCTACATTGTCAATAATGGCAGATAAGATAGAATTTCTAATGAATTGAGCAACGCCTCCTCTGCGCTTTTGGATTCTGTCGGCTCTTTTTAACGTGAAACCTTCAAAATCAAGTTCCCTACTGTCTACAGATTGCATCAGCCAAGTTTGTGTGACTGCAATTATATCCGGCTTGGTAGAGTTTATGTGCACACCTGGCTCTGATCACTTGTTGAGTAAGCTCCAGGAGTTTGTGTGACGGACTCGAAGACCATTTAAAGAGCTTTTTGCTGCACCCAACGCGGCTTGGGCACCATTCTTTGTCGAAGCGTCACTACGCGAAAATTTGCAATTTTTACGTCCTCCTGACCAAAATCTGAGTTTAGTATTAGTTCTTTTTCAGCTCGCCTTTTTATACGGTCCGTAAGCAACAAGTCTTTATGGGCTTAAACTCCTGACCAATTTAGTTCATGTCCATTCTGTAGTATTAGGTCCCTTCTGTTGGGAGATTTATACTGCTACTTTTAGCATCCTGGTTTGATTCTGTTTCAATTCCATTTGGCTACTAAGTCTATAATCATTTAGGAAGGTGACTACGGGGATATTCCGAGGTATTATCTGCTTTAGTAGCTCTTTTATCAACTCAATATCATGTTCAAAACGAGTTCTGGGTTCTAAGCTTTCACTTTCCTTGACTCTATGAAAGGCAACTGACCTGTCACAATGACCAGTCTTTATGTCTTAGCTTTTTTGGGGTGTGGGGGTTGGCTTTTCTTTAATAACATATTGTTTCGTGTTCTCGACTTGTACCAATTTATCAACTGTCTTTGAAGTAGCAACCACGGTCACGTCAAACACACTGTGCGATTCTGAGTGGTTATCGACGATTCGGACGATCAGGTTGTTTTCCAGGCTAGAAACAGACATAGTCTTGCGATTAGGTTTTATAGGCGTTTTCTTCTCGCTACCATTTGGAGGGCAGGGGTCGGATGAAACTCTTTTTCTAGAGCTTTTATGTCGGACATACCTCCTGAAGTCGGTCTTTCCTCCTTTGGTCCACATAAGTCAATCGATATTGAGAGTATTTAGGGCGACTTCATATCGATTTGTGTATCTAACAGAGCGAGTACTGTTACGTGTGTCTCGACCTTGTTCGCTAATACTTTTTCAGCAGCTATAATAATGGAAAGGCCTCGTGCTGTTGATGAAACCACACTTTCAAAAAGTTACGCTACAGACTTCTCGTGTCTCAATTCGAAGCTCATATTTTTGATTTTTATTGATTGCTTTCATTCTTAAATGTAAGTGCATCCTGTTTGGTTACTTAGTTGTAGACTTACTTTTCATCAAGATTTCACGATCCTCTAGCACACAAAGTACCTTCATGCTAGATCCAAACCTATCTAAATCTGAACATTACAGAACCATGACTAGCATGTTTGTCGTTTTTCTCAGTAATCATAGACCTATCGTCTGTCTGATTAATTTTAATTCACATTTAACAACCAGAAGACAAGGTTTCATAGTATTCTCGTACCGTAAGATTCCGTGTTAAAACATGAAAAGGGGGAAACCCCCCCCCCAAAAAAAGTAGGACTGAATGCTTTGCAGCTCCATACTTCTGGTAAGTCAGTAACTACAGGAGAACCCTCGGGTACGCACTGTCCGTCCCCAAAAGCTTTTTGCACCTAAATTTCGTGCTTAGTTACTCACCTTATCCTGAATCCCCCCTACGTATATCTTAAATATTCAAGACTAATTGGTCCGTTACCATCATCACTTAATAGTTCTGAAAAGTAGGTTCCATTTACATGACGCGCATTATTTGGGACTACTGACTGGCATGACGGTTTCACTTTGTCCTTGAAAGCTTTTGCAATTTCTGGTCTACTGGTTAACAATCATCCAGTACAAACTCCCATATTTTTAGAACCTTAGATTAGTTACACAGGAAACGCCTGCATTCATCTCATCTTAAGCAGTCCCTCCCATAGTAAAATCATATACCCTCAATATCGTGTTTTCTTTGTAGTCAAGCTCTTAACACGTAAATGATCAGAAGTGGTCCATGTGACTATATATCACAGGTGATCTGTCAGTATATTTGTAATGCAACTTGCTGGCTCACTGCTTTTTCCCTTATGATATCACTACAGTAGTCGAAACAATTAACGCCAGTCAGTTCTCAAAAATATTAATTGTTTGATGTAAAAATTTCCTTCGAAAGAACGGTCGTCTGATGGTTCATATATTTCTGAGTACTAAATGAAACATGTCCTAGGTAGTCTCTTGTAGGCTGCTTTTTGACATGTTAGCATCACAGGACTTTTAAATTTACATTACCATTAGAAGTGGGTATAAACTGGTCTCAAAGAGTTGCACTCCCATCCTTTTACATAAAAATAGTCTTGAACAACCAAACGAAGACAGGAAAACTGACAGTCAATGCAGATATGCCTAACTAGGAGTGCTGGTAGTAGTAACTTAATGTAGTGTAGTGAGATTCGCTGCCAAATCCCGAGAGCGATAGAACGGAATTCCCAAAGTTTTGCTGCTAGTAAGTTAGGTGTATTATGAGACTTCGGTGACTTCCACTGTGAAAGAAAGCCAATATCTTAGCAATTTATTTGATCTTAATTGTTAGGTATCCTTTGTATTCACATTTTGTCAGTGGAAATATTTAAATAACCTTCCCAATACATTCGAAGATCGCCTCGACTGATTCTATCCAAGTGCCCGGTTAGTATCATCGACCCTTACACGTTAATTGTAAGACTGTAAGATGTGAATTTATGCATTGTTGAGGATATAGACTTGTAATAGCATCAAACATTGCTTCTACCTTAACTTCTCAATTATGTGACTTATGAAACCACTCCTCATAAGAATATTAACGATCCTTGTGCCGTATATTCCCTAGAATATACTAATATATGTTAAAAAGTTAAGAGCAGCTCATAGAAAACCGGTTATAAAACACCTATCGAGAAATCAAGTACGTTTTTACTTTTTATAAATACAGACAATGAGCAACATTAATTGGTCTCCCATGGTAAGAACTGAATATTAGACCTCTGAATTAAGTAAATTCTAGAGTAACTAAACGTAATTTTCGTTGTCATATAAATGTTAATTTTCGTTTACAAATGAGTTAATAAGTACTTGGTAACAACGCTTTACATGACTATGACCAATCTTCTTTATTTAAAGACTTCGATCACAATATAAAACTTGTCCGAATTCAACATCACAATTCGAAGTCCTGTGAGCGTTCGCACCTCTGGGGTTTATATTAGATATGACGTAAATTTTTGTTTGATCAACAGAGATGACACTAGTTGACCAACCGGAATCAGATGTTTTTAAGTTGATTATCTCTATAAATACGTTGAGTAGTCACGATTTTACGCTAATTCTCTACATTAACTCTTAGTTTCCACAGGCAACTATAGCGCGGTATGTGTTGGTCTCACCTACTATGATGTACTGAATATTATTTTAGAACTTGTAGACTATACTTACTAGCTGGTAGTGCGCAAGAAGGCTCTCCCTATGATTTGGATACCTGGACGGCATTACAGATTACAAATCACATATTTACAATAACTTCGTTTGTAGATAGCGAAAACTCGTTTCACATGTTGTCAAACGTACAGGACTAAGTGATACACTATTGTATCACAAATGCTAACAAGATAAAGTACTATTATTCGCCAAGAAACTTTCTTCGTAGTATTCATTTGAAACTAGATTGAGACGGTAAATAAGTATTCCAAGTGGTAAATCACCTGTGAACTTTTATTGATCAAATTATATAGAAACCCTGGAACGCTACTTATCCCTGTTAATACAATATACTGAAATCTGCGTAATTTAATTAGCAAAGACATGACATTTTTCTAACCAGTTGTTGACTGTTGAGTTATATCTTGTACGTGGATACACGACCTGGTTATGGACTTTGAGACATCCCTGGCCATATGTTGAAGAACCTTTAAAATAGCTTCACGTCGACAGTATCAGCACTAAGTCCCTAATCATTTTCCTCCCTTGGATTCTGAGTTTTAATATGTTCTTCGGGATCACTTTGTTCACGACTAGCCATTACTGATGACAACATTCGCGCGACCATTGCATTTTAACCTAGTAACTTTTTTCTTACTAAGTTGATCTAGGGCACTAGTGAGTATTTTTAGCTAAATTTTTCATTTTTGATGATATTTCTGTTGCCACTCCTACTGCTTATAGAAGATATGTGCATCATACTCAGTGTTTAGTTCCGTAAATATAAAAAGTAACCTTTCAATAGTTCAGTTAATCATAAGTAACGTAAACTACATATATGTATGGATTGCCACTTAAAGAATTGTTAGTTACTAGTTAAATAATAAGGGAGTTAGGGTATTTCTTCACCACGACTAACTGCATGATCTCAGTATTAAGTATACATATATCCTTAACTGAGTAACTACAGTACAAAGTCAGATTATTTGAACCTAGTTATGTTTTTACACATCCTGACTCTAATATTTTACTTCTACGCATTTTATTTTCAAATATAGTTAACAATGATAATACCAATACGTTGTTTTACGTGTGGAAAGGTTGTTGGTGACAAGTGGGAAAGCTACATTGGTTTGCTTCAAGCTGAATATGCTGAAGGCGATGCTCTGGATACTTTAGGTTTGAGACGTTATTGTTGCCGACGCATGCTTCTTTCACATGTTGATTTAATAGAAAAGTTACTGAACTACTCACCTTTACAAAGATAAAGAACTGTGATAATTTAAGGGAATTATATACTAGAACTTTTGAAATCAAATAAAAAGTAACATATTCATACATCTGGATATTTAATTCCCGTTATACCAACGCCGTAATATATCGAAAATTCCTGAAGATTTGTTTTCTGACTGGTATTCTTTCATGGATGGAACGCTTGGATCCATAATTAGTAAATCTGCAATAAACACCAAGACAGTTTGTCTAGAAATTAAAATGCTCAACGACCTGGTGCCTAACAAGATAACGTATCAATGCATCTTAATTATGCTACGGGTCAAAATTTGTCATTGAAGTAAACTGCCAGACTTATTAGTAGCTTGCGGTACAGTGAAGCCGTCGTTTAAATATTAATGAAGTTGTGGAAAGTAGTTCTTGAACATACAAATTTTCCTATCCGAAAGGATTTAACCTTATAAACGGTAAAATATTTAATAGGGTTTTTAACGGATTGGAATTTACTTCCATTCAACAAGACTAGAATATCTAAATTAGACCTCAAATACTAAGCACAGTTTCGGAATAAGAGCGTAAACCTCTGTCGCAACCAAATATTCACCTGTCTTGCGGCACCTTTGTGTGCTCGTTAGGTGCTTCTAAGGTGAAGCTTTACAATAGTCAACCTCTCAAGGTGAAAATGGCACCGGACAGAGTTGCTTTGAATACTTTGCACGGAATTTGAGTGACGTAAATTGCAATTAAGGTTGTTTCGCAAGATTATTAGTGGTAATACATCAATAAAGACAACTTTGATAAGGCGTATATGAAGTTAATTCAGTTTTGTTCTCTGAGTTGGATGGTTTGGTCGTGGAGCTTTTATCATCCTTCCTAACGACATCAGCACAAACTTCGGGTAGATGTGATTTAAGTATTTCCAGTCAAAAATTCCCAGGTTTACGATAATTCAGCACCAAACTTAAGTTATGGTGAGAAAATCTCTGCGTAGCGAGATTATGAATGTGAAAGTTGCTCACAAGAAATTGTCTCAGTAAAAACTGATAAGCACCCACCTTTCAAAACTGCGAGGAATGACTTGTCCTTTTGTCTTATCCTGACTCATATATATCTAATGCCCCCTTGTACCAATATTTATTTGTTCAAATAAATTCGTCTTATCCCATATTTGTATTAAATGATCAATCTTACTGACATCGTGGGGAGTAGAAAATATACTGCCAGGTACTTTTGGAATATATCGTAAACCATTTTACCGTTACGCGTAGCCTAACGGTTCCACTAGGCAGTGTTGGAAATTACATTTTCCCTAGTAAACTAAAGTTACAGAGTGTTTGGCACATCACGATTGTCCTCTTTAGGATCTTAATCACTCCAACTACTTAAATAACCATGTGAACTGAAAGAGTGCATGGACGAGACTTCATATTTAGATCATTCAACTTTATGATCACTTAGTTGACCATCCGATAACACAAATCAGACTACGTAGCGAGTTAACAGATACTCGACTATAAAGCAACCAACATGGTATGATTACTAATTTGCATAAGGAAGTTGGACATACTAAAGCACTCAAGTGAAAATTGAAATTTGAGGACAATAGATTTAAGGGTCTCTCACCTTTACTATCCTCAGTTTGGGACTGCTGACCATCGGGTCTCATATAGACAACATGTTTCTTTTCCCCATCAGATGACCGTTCGATCGTGGTATGAACTTCAGTGCCATCTGGTTCACGAACCACTCTTTTCTGTAACTCTTTCACTTCCTATAATCTCCAAAAAAGTACATGTCGAGATGAATTTTAACATAACTGACTGCATCAGCCAAAGGTTTTACTAATTTCAAAAGTAAACAATAAAATCACTGACGAAACTTTACACATAACTGATGAGGTAGAAGGATATCCGCATAAACGGTTAGATTTCTACGTTCAAGAACTGAATTATAAAACTAAGTACAACTAAAACTTCACCTGGGGCTACTGCCGGTCCCAAGCCCGGATAAAGGAGGGTTGGGCATGGAGTTAGCGACTCCACCCCGTAGAAAAATAACTTGCTAAAAAAACGCCGACCAGAAAAAAAAGTCAAATCAAAAACACTTAGACAAAACTAGAAAGTAAGGCCTGGGACAGAGTGGGTTGGAGAATGATGGTCGGCAGCCTACACTCCATTGGGGGCAACAGGTATAAATAAATAATAAATACAACTAAACGTGACTAGTATGTCTCCTAGGTCTTAATTAGAAAATGGAACAATTATTATTTTTCTACGGGGTGGAGTCGCTAACTCCATGCCCAACCCTCCTTTATCCGGGCTTGGGACCGGCAGTAGCCCCAGGTGAAGTTTTAGTTGTACTTAGTTTTATAATTCAGTTCTTGAACGTAGAAATCATTATTACACCAAACAATGTCGAAGATGGAGTTTTTAGAATAACATATTTAAATTTACTATAACTTGTTTCTAGTTAAATTATATTCAGAACTAGTCAACCATTTCTTCAAACAGTATCACTTTCTTATAGGATTAATTTGATCTCAAGAGCGATTATATTTTTCTGCTCTTGTAGTCTCAAGTGATACACTAGGCTATGAATAGCCAATACGCTTAAAAGTTACCAATAGTGACTCATAGGCAGGGAAGTTCGACGTATATCAGCAGACTTTTCGACTGACGAAATCTGTATTAGAGAATTAGATATAGTATAATGGTGCTAAATAAATTGGTTTTAAACATCGAGACTTACACCGTTATTCACTATGAGCGTTTTGCTGGTGAAAGAACTGACCCATCTACGTACTGATGAGTCACGCTTCTCAGCATACGGGGCATTAGCTGGTTGACCATCAATGATAATGTCTCCTTTTTTAAAGCCAGGAGGATCTATTTGCCTCTAGAATTAAAAGGATCAAATGAATTAATGATAGACAAATAGAATAATCCTCTTCAGTATTTAGATAAACTTAATGGTTTAAATAGAAAATATACTTTAAGCTGAAAAAAAGGCTGACTAACTGTTCAGATTACTTTATTGGGACAACCACTGAAATGGTAGAGTGTATTGTAGAATCTGACAACACAGTATTATATATATATATATATATTCACGAACTTACTTTCTTGGTGATAGCTTATCGAAACTTCTGTCATCATTTTTAAGAACATCTACTATCGTGACACACAATAGTCCGAATAGAATTTTATTCACAATAACCTTCTTACAGCACATTTTGCAAGTTTCCTTGGTACACAGTAGACGTTTAAGATAAGCTCGATGGTGTCTTAATAGTAATCAATGGATAATTAGTCATGGTATATCAAAAAGTAAAAAATTTCAAGGTAGCTCTGTATTTCAATCAGTCAGTCACAACGTAGAATTTCGTACGTACGTACATCAGTTCGAGTTGCCATACCACATTAGCACAGAGATGCAGTTGTCGATTCAAATCACATAGTGGTAGAAGTAATAAGAGTATAAGCATTATGTGAAAGGTTAGGGTTTGAAGATGTTATTGAAGGAGTATAATACAGTGAAATAAATTTGAAAAGAGAAAAAAGATAGAGACATGAGGAACTCAGAGAATTAGAATTTGGGAGAATACAAAGAGTGGATGCACCTTCGCCATTGCAAACGATTTTGAGCCATGTCATCCAAGGCCTCTAACCATCGGTTGCTATCATCTTGCGAATCCCAACCAGGTAATCTACACTTACCAACATGGCTCAGTTCACTTGTCAGCGACTTCATGGATTTTTGCCACCTTTTGGTCTGGCCGCCTCTAGCTTTCTTCCAACCTACTCCTACACCATAAAACATTGCACGTCGGGGCAGTTGGTGGTTGGGTATACGTAACACGTGCCCCAGCCATCTCAACTGATGGAGTTTTACTACTTCATCAATCGATTTTCCATCCTTACCTAGTACCCGTGTCCTAACAACTGCATTACTTACCCGGTAGCCCCAGGATATACGAACAACGCTTCGAAGACACCTATGATGGAATACTAGTAGTCTACGAATATCCTCTACTCTTATCGGCCATGTTTCGCTACCATAAAGTAGAACGAAGCGAACTGCTGCACAGTAAACCCGTCCTTTTGTTGCTAGACGGATATCTCGCCTACGCCATAAATGACGCAAGTTGGCGAAGGCTAGACGAGCCCTCTGTATTCGTGCTGAGATTTCGTCACATACCAGACCACAAGGACTAATGAGACTCCCAAGATAAGTGAAGCGGTCAACACTCTCAACTACTTCACTCCCTACCATTAGTTCAGGTGTCGGTGCAGTCAGTCAGTCAGCTACAACGTAGGACCAGGCACACATATGCATCGGTCCAAGTTGCCATACCTCGTTAGTACAACAAGATGAACACCGGATTCATAGAAATAGTTAATTTAGTGGTGGTAGTATATAAATGATAGGTTGTATATAAGGATATAGTAGAGGAAGGAAGAACGTTATGAAGCAATTTTAATCTTAAGGTTTAAGAAAAGTAACATTTTGCACTTCGAGGGAGAGAATCGCATCCCGAACATGCCTGCATTGTTGCTTATAGTGGTCAGAAGACTCTGCATGTCAGCGTCTTCACCAAATAAAACTATGTCGTCGGTGTATTCTAAGTCAACAAGTGAGCCTCCCGGTAAGAGTTCAACTCCTGAAGATTGAGATGATGAAAGTGTTATCTCTAAAAGTATGTCAACGACAAAGCTAAACAAGAATGGGGAGAGTGGACATCTCTGACGAACACCAATTGAGGTAACCAACTCTGATGACGGTTCGCCATAGGCTCTAACTGGACCAGTTGTGTTCGAGTAGAGAGCCTTTATGAGGTTAATGTGCTTCTTTGGTACTCCTTTCACTGACAAACACTGCCATAGAACCTCACGATCAACGGAGTCAAATGCCGCCTTAAAGTCGAGAAATACTATTATTGTGGGACGTCTGAATGTATGTCTATGTTCTAGGACCTAACGTAGAGTGAATATCTGGTCTATGCAACCACGTCCAGGTCGGAAACCAGCCTGGTTTTTTCTAGTCTGCTCTTCACGAGCTTTGGTTAGGCGTCCAAGTATTATTGAAGTTAATATTCCCGACCGTTGCTGCTACCTTGACGTGGTGGTCGGGCTTGCCTATCGTGATGAACCAATCGAGCTATGCTGGCTGGAACAATCGTTCCTCGAGGTCCTACCATGCCCGACAGGTCGATTGAAGAGCGGTGAGACTAAAAGCAGCAAACCCAAGGTCCGAAGGCGAAGTCGTACTGCTGACTGTACAGAGGTGTGAAAGCAGTAAGGTGTTTCCTTCAGACAACCAGCATGACAGCGATGCTGCCTTCCCACAAGGAGGGGTGGGGTTAGAAAAGGTCGACCCTAAAAATGCACACCTCGCCTTATCCCACGGATATCCGTCTCCGGCGGTAAGGTTTTTTTTGAAGAACGGAGCTAACACAAAAACTACCCACAAAAAGGTCGTGTGTGACCGACCTCAAGCAGTTGTCCCTTGGGCACTGCGGTCACGCTCTCCGGTCATTAAGACCACTTCTAACCCAATTTCCTTTTCAGGTACCTCTAGAAGAATCCTTCCACGGTGTGGGCAACCGGGAAGTGATAACTGCCCTCATACCTCTAACAACACTCAAGACCACTGTATTCATAATCAATCTCCTTCTTCAATTCCTACTACCTTGACTTTCAACACTAAACTTCCTCTCTCGGTTTCCTCCTCAAGTGTCACCATGGCCAACGATTCTAGTGCGCGAAACGCTGTCCCAGGTCTACTAAAACCTCGCTCCAAACTACACATTGGAGCCTTCAACGTACGTACTTTAAGTCAAATCGGTCAACAGGCCTCCTTAGCTAAAACCTTAGAGTCGCGTACCATTGATGTATGCTGTGTCTCCGAAACACGCATACAGGATCCTAGTGTGGTCATTCACCTGACCTCACCTCGCCAAAATGGACAGCCAACGAAATACACCCTCCGTGTATCTGGCGACCCGTTGGCTAGTTCTCGTGGACTTGCAGGTGTAGGTATAGCACTAAGTACAAGGGCAGAACAGGCACTACTAGAATGGATCCCCGTTGACAGTCGCCTGTGTGCTGTCCGGCTAAATGGCTCCGTAAGAACTCGGAAGGATAGGGACACACGTCGTTGCCTTT